AGTGAACTGCTTTGGCAGTTTCAACTCGTTCTTCTTTTCGCTCCATTATTTGTTTACTTGTGGTACACAAATGTCAACGCCCAGGACGGCGCAATCTTGTATTAGCTCTGATCATATATGTAATACTCCTATATTGGCAGTAAGAGCTAGTACCGTCCGAAAACACTACAGTACAGATATATCAATAAACACGTACGAAAGAAAAGGAACACATACGTTTATAAATAAACATGTACACAACACATATACAAAAACGGCACTCAAGTACACAATACATTGACAAAAACAGTACTAGACTGTCTCGCTTTGATTTCGGAATGCTTACACATTGAGAAGTTAGCTTACTGCCAATATAGAAGTATTACATATATGGCTCTGATCCAATACTTTTCGTGAAAAATCCTGTAAAACTGTCAAACAGAAAAATTACTCTCTTAAGTGAGAGTAAAAAGTGAGTAACAACAAAAAGTACGGGAACAAAAAAACCATTTTTCCTTAAAAATCACTCACAAATTGCAAATTAAAACAATTTAAACTGATTTTTCACTTATAATTCAAATTTCTCTTTTGCTGATTTGTAGACAAAGTTTTATTTACAAGTTACCACAACTGTCAAAATCGGCAAAACCAAAGTAGCGGTACCACTGACGGCGCCACCTTTTTCGCTGCACCGTGTCTATCATTCTTGGGAATTTCCAAACATCTATAGCTCGTATCGCTGGATTGTTAAATAAATGCTCTCGTTGACCAAATTGTAGTACAATTAACTTTATTGTACAACAAACAATTAACAATACTCGCTAATATCGTAAAAACACTTTACAATACTCTTTAAAGCAATTACAACGCTTTAAAAAACTTGTTAACACAATTAAACTTGTAGCTTGCTTATTCGCAACTCACTTTACTTGTAGCTTGCTGACTTGTAACTCCCCAACTCCGCTGTGTCGTGGCTCTTATATACCTGCGCTCGCACTCATGGCAACTCTCGAACGTTCTGAGGTTCATCGCTCATTCTCTTTCTCTCGCTGTTCGCAGTGTTCATCCAACTTGACGTTTCTCTTTGTGGAACATTCTACGTCATTCCTCGAACATTCTGTCTATTTCTCGTTGTTCGCTTTGTGTTGCCGCAGTATTCGCCACAATAGTGTTTGTTGTTATATGAATTCGCCTTGTTTACAACAAACACATCATTTTGACATTAATAAGTACCGCGGCGAAAATCTAAATTCGCCATCAACACCACCTTGTATAGATTCGCCTTGTAAATATCAAAATGATGTGTTTGTGGCAAGGCGAATTTATACAAGGTGGTGTTGATGGCGAATTTAGATTTTCGCCGCGGTACTTATTAATGTCAAAATTATGTGTTTTGTTGTAAGCAAGGCGAATTCATATTACAACAAACACACTATTTTGACATTAAGAAGTACAGCGGCGAAAATCTAAATTCGCCATCAACACCACCTTGCATGCCTTGGTTTGTGGTAATATGAATTCGAATTATTTACAACAAACACATCATTTTGACATTAACCTTGAACTGTGGAGGTGGTTGTAAAATTTACCCCCTCTTTAAATTTTTTTGAATTACTCTCCTATGTTGCGCTCCAGCAACTTGATTCTCTCAGTATCTTCTCCTTTCGTTCTCGTTATTGATCAGTGATGTTTTTGCTGTGGAAGGTGTAGCGTGGGCGGAGAAATGCTGATGCTGGTGTAAAAATTACCACTCCTCAATGTTATGCAACTTTTTCTTTCAAGGAAGGTTGACCTGTATTTTTTACAATTACAATTTTTGATGTGTATACATCTTTGGTTTCGGTAGGGGTAAAATTTGCGAAGCTGTAACGCATATCCCAGCACAAAATTTCGAAGGTCTTAGCATGTGTATTTCAGCATACAATTTTTATTTTCATTAGAAGCACCCTGTGTTTGTTTGCCAAATGGTTGCATGCATTTGGGCATATGCATAGTAAGAGGAAATGCGCTACAATTGATTAGTACTTCCGATTATTTAAACTCCGCACGTGCACACGGCTTTGTACCTATGTATGTATGTACATAAATATGTATGGACTCATTTGTTGCAACTGGGCATGAATCACGTNTCCGCACATGCATACGGCTTTGTACCTATGTATGTACATAAATATGTATGGACTCATTTGTTGCAACTGGGCATGAATCACGTAACTTTGAAACGATAGTCGTTCAAACGATACTGACAAAACGATGTTGTCAAAACACTGATTTACGCATTTGTGTTGCTGTTACGTGTTACTGTTACTGTTACGTAAAGCAAAACTGGAATCGAGTTGACGATATCGCACGAACGATCAAACAATTTTCGATTTTTATGAAGCAAGACAATCTCGACACGAAATCGGTCAGACGATTGTCGTCATACGTGATTCGTGCCCTGGTTTTGATATTCGTAGATGGTTTTAGGCATAGGTTTAGTAGTCTATTTTGATAAAAAAGCAAGGCGAAAATTTAAAAAAATACTGATATCATTTTAACTGGGACCGTTGATAACTGATGAACATACATGAATATATGTATGTATAATATGCATATGTATGGATGATATAATGTCGGCCGCTGTGGTGTAGTGGTAAGCAGTGCGCGCTTCCACTCCGCAGGACCCGGGTTCAAACCCTGGTCAAAGCAACATCGCAAAAAATATAGAAAAAAGGTTTTTTCTTAACAGCGGTCGTCCGCTCGGCAGGCAATGGCAAACCTCCGAGTGTATTTCTGCCATGAAAAACAGCTTCTCATAAAAATACAATCGCCGTTCGGAGTCGGCGTAAAACTGTAGGTCCCTCCGCTTTGTGTGACAACATCAAGGCGCACGCCACAAGTCGGAGGAGAAGCTCGGCCAAACACTAACATATGTGTAAGCGCCAATCTATTATTATTATATTATGGATGATATAATAGCTCTGATCCAATACTTTTCGTGTAAAATCCTGGAAAAAGGTCAAACAGCAAAATCACTCTCTGAAGTGAAAGTAAAAAGTGAGTTACAGAAAAACGTACGGAACAAAAAAGCATCGGGTAAAATCCTGCAACATGAACTGCATTTACATGAACCACAGATTATATTCCGAAAATAAAAACTAAATTTAGGAATATATACAAATAGATATGCTCAAACTATAAGCTCAAAAACAATAACTGATGCGGTGTTTCCAAGATATTTTAACGCCCTTGAGTCACAAGTATATTTTGTCAATCATACCGATAATTTCATGTATTAAAAGAATTAAAAATGAAAATGAATAAAAAAATTAAATCAGCAAAATGAATAAAATTAAGTGAAATTAATGTTTAATTTCTAACCTAACCTACATTTCTATGTATGTAACTGAATCGCCTAATAATAGCTTTACATATAAAAAGATTATCCTAATTTTCGAGCTTAACTCCCTAATCTGTTATTAGAAAAAGAGATTAGCCATGCAAAATTATAATTAAAAATGTCTCAGATTAAGAAGATTAAGAAGAAGTTTGACTTTTCCTCGAGTTGTGTGAATAACAAGCACAACCAATTTGACAGCGAACGAGCTTTGATTGAGAATATATTTATAAGTAAACGTTCTTTTATGCTTTGCCGTTCGCATATGTTTACACATCAAATTTCATGAGTACCTAGTACTCACGCCTTTTTTTTAATATGATCTCTTGTATTTCTTTAAATATATATTTTTTGCTGTGAAAAGATGCCCCTTAAGCTTTAGATTAATTTTTATTTTACACTTTTTTTGTAAGTTTACTATGTGATGTTTTCGTCCTTGTGAATAATAAAAGCCTTGTGGAATAAAGTGGAACTTTTGTTGATTTTAAAAGAAAAAATTAAATTTTGTATTTATTTTAACTTAAAAATCTAGTAGCTTAGTTTAAAAGAAAAAATAATTATAAAATGGCCAATTTGTATTCAAATTTCTTCGAAGGGGTAAAATTTACCACCAGGTCATAGACTATGTCCAAAAAATTCACCTCCATAGTTAAAGGTTAAGAAGTACCGCGGCGAAAATCTAAATTCGCCAGTAACACCACTAGTGCTGTCGTTTGCTGATTTTCGAGCGAAGTGAAAACACATAAAAAGTGAAGTGTTCCGGAGTGATTTGTGAGGAAAAGTGAAGTGATTAGCGTAGTGACGATTTTCAAGCAAAATTAGATGTGGGGGTTTTCGATTTAGTTTATTTATCAGCCGATGGGTTAATCGATTATATTTTTATCACAATAAAAGTAATCTTTAACGTTTATAAATTTAGGTATCATTTATTGTGTCTCTGTGCAAATTTAGAGTTGGAATATCTTTAAAATCCCGATGTCTCAAATGTTGTGGAAATACAGAACAAAATTACAGTTAATTGATGACGAAAACACTTAAATATAAGTAATTGATGTTTTATTTTCGATCAAACTAAATTTTAGTAGAGAGCAATCTGGAATTATTCTATAATTAAATTTAAAAATAGTAAAATACTCACATTGCCCCAAAAAATATTTAGACAAAAATATTAACACATTTTTAGATTATTAAGATGAATCAACATTTATTTAAATTGTTCACGCTTCACTTTTAGTAATAAGTCTGTAGTTGCATTAAATGCAATTTTACATTAAATGATGAAATTACATTGATTCTAATTAAATTTTATCACATTTAATTAAGCTTTACACACAAGTAAATACTTTTTGTACTTGGTATTAAATTAAAGTATTTCTATAAACATGTACATGCATTTTTAATACATAGAAGTTTTTAAATAATCACATTGTTACATTTTGTACTTATTAGCATTTTCATAAAATGCATTTCTTATTAAAAATTATATAAAATCACATTGTAACATTTTGTACTTGTTTTTTTTTGCAATATTGTTATACATTCCAGCCAGGTAAACGTTTCCAGCCACCGCTCCAAAAACTTTTGTTGAAAATTCTTTCTTGTGCTAGTGGAAGCATTAATTGACGTAGCACAATCACTTAAATCGATAGAAAGTTCAATATTGGATGAGGCATCTAGAGGCCCAATGATAGCTTCATCAGCAATAGCAAATCCACCATCTTCATAACTTGAAGATTCAGGAATCGCAACATCATCGCCACCTCCACCAACGCAAACCCACCGTTTCTATAATAGCTTAAAGATTCAGCATATACACCATCTTCATAATAACTTGAAGATTCAGGAATCGGAGCAACATCACCGCCACCTCCACCAACAGCAAACGCACCATCTGCATAATAGCCAAGAGATTCAGGAATCGCAGAAACATCTCAACCACTTCTATCAATCGCAAATGCATCATCTCCATAATATTTTGAATATTCAGGAGGCGCAGCAACATCCCCTCCACCACCAACAGCAAACGGATCATCTCCAGATGCAACAAACTCATCAGAATAACTAGAAATTATTTCGACAGCAGCAACATCACCGCCTTCATCAATGCCAACACCGCAATCCTCAGAAAAAAAATCGCTCGTCACAAGCGTGTCNCGCACCATCTGCATAATAGCCAAGAGATTCAGGAATCGCAGAAACATCTCAACCACTTCTATCAATCGCAAATGCATCATCTCCATAATATTTTGAATATTCAGGAGGCGCAGCAACATCACCTCCACCACCAACAGCAAACGGATCATCTCCAGATGCAACAAACTCATCAGAATAACTAGAAATTATTTCGACAGCAGCAACATCACCGCCTTCATCAATGCCAACACCGCAATCCTCAGAAAAAAAATCGCTCGTCACAAGCGTGTCAAACTCCCCATCCTCATTTGTCGAGATTTCGGCACTGCAAATATAAAGTTTCCCGTAAATATGAAATACTAATTTAAATGTTTTTAAAGAAACTAATAAAATAAGCCGTAAGACTTACATTTTACTTTTCCCGCCTTCGTGCTGTTTTTTGGCGGCCCCGCCGTGGTCTTGCAAAAAATAGCTAAACAAATTTGAGGTTAGAAAACGTACATACATATATGTAGATGATCGAGTAAAACTTACCTCGAAATTTTCTTCTGACCTGATGCAGCCTTTTTCCTGTAAAATGAAAGACATGTATGTAAATTAATATATAATTGTTATTTTTTCATAAATTTGCTAAATAAATATGAAAATTTACTTACCCAAACTTTTCTGTGCGCTTTCCAACATGTTCTAGCATGAACGAAAGACACAAGATCACGCCTTCCCGAAAGAAAGAAAAAAGTTATTTTTTAGCTGTTGAAATCTCGACGCCATCTTTGTTGGAAGAAGTAAACAACGAAGAGAACAAAAAAAA